TATATATGTATATATATGTATGTATATATATATATATATATATATACACACACACACACACAAACATACATACATACATACATATACAGTTGAAGTTAGAATTATTTTTAAATTTTTTTTTATATTTCCTAAAGGATGTTTAACAGAAAATAGAAATTTTCACAGAATGTCTGATAAGAATTTAGATGGCGGCACAACCAGGTGCTAAGACAGCTGGCAGAGCATCTTGAAAAATGCAGATTACAAGCAAACGCAACATCAGCATGTCCTCTGCCAAATATTAGGTTCCTCAGACCAGGAGAAGGGGGGCATATCACAGGTACAGAGAGAGCAAGGTGCCTGCTCGTGCCTGGAAAGAGGTGGGAGATGCGCGTTGACTTGGACTCTCAGCTTATTTTTCCATCAGAGATCACACAAACAACTCTAAGACTAGACGCAGTGATTTGGTCAGCAGTGGCTAAGAAGGTTCCGGTGATTGAGCTGACTGTGCCATGGGAGGAGGGAATGGCAGCGGCGCATGAGTTCAAGCGACACAAGTACTCAGACTTAGCAGCCAAATGCAGAATCGAGGGTTGAACGGCGACAGTACATCCCATAGAAGTTGGGGCATCTGGAATGAGTCTGAGGAGAGCTGTTAAGGAGTTGGCAGAGGAGGCGGAGAAGGCAAGTTACTGGATGTGGTTACGAAGGAGGGACAAAAATTGGGGTGCGGTACCCCATTAAGGGCAGCTGCAGGGGATGGCGGGGAGACGTCCCCACAAGCCACTGCCCCCCCACCAGGAGGTGTACTGGTTAGGGGGCGAAACATCAGTGATCGGTGGTACCAGCTGATGACCCTGCAGCTGACCCAAAAGTGCAATGGAGGTGGTGCGGCAGGCAGTAATGTCAAGCAGGTATTTAATACTTGTATTGGAAAATTTGATAATGTTTTTTCTTCTGGGGAAATACTTACTTGTTTTATTTCGAAATCTTCACTCCGTTAAACTGAAATTGGGGAAAAAATAAACAGGGGGGCTAATAATTGTGACTTCAACTGTATATATACGCCCCCACCCCCCTCTTTCCAGCCCACAACTAATGTAAAAAATATAGAGAGATACGGCACAATGAGAGAGAGAGAGCTTTGTCTGTGTGTGTGTGCTTGGTGCTTGTGTGTGTGTGTTTATACAGACAGCTTGTTATAGGCTGTCTGGACTCTGTATAGCTGGGTGGTTTTCGGTTCCCCCCGCTCTTTAGCGGGATCGGGCACGGCGGATAAAAAACGGGGCGGGGTAGGGCGGGCAGCGGGACAACAACTGCTGAATATAAGCGGGAGCAGTCGGGTTCGGGCGAAAACCTGGCGTGAGTGGGATTCAAAATGTTGTCCCGCGCAAATCTCTAACTTTTGGTTTTGACCTGCCACCTACTGAACGTTTAAAGTACTGTACTATTTATTCGGCTTAGTTTTACTTTCTGTTTCTCTCAGTGTGCGTTGTTGAGAGTAACACACATGCAGATTATTTCTAAATATTTTTTTTATTTTTACTAAAGCTCTGTTTTTTAAATATTCAAGGGTCATTTGATTATAATCAGTTTTATACCAATTGTATTTTGTTATAGAAGGACTTCTTTAACAATTGGTTGGGACAGAATAATAATTCGCCTATTGATTGTAGAATTTGCATAGCAATAAAAAAAAAAACTTCAATATGTACAACAAGAAACAATAAGCTAGAGTTTTGACAGCATATACTCTGTGGAAAAATTACTGAGTGTGTGTCTAAAGGGGTCACACACCAGAAGCGCCACTCGGCGACGCGCCGCGTAGTGCCACGCAGCATCATGCATTTTAGAATTCATACACTTCTTTCAGGGTACACAAACTGACGCCGCATGTCAGCGGCACCCAGCCACAACTCAGGACACTGTTCATATTTCTGCCGCGGCACAGAGCACAATCTGATTTGTTGCATTTTAAATAACATGCGAATGTGCCCGTCTGGTGTGCGATACTTTCAACTGTCATGTGCGCGCCGTGTCGCGGCACCGAGCGGTGCATCCGGTGTGTGACACCCTTAACGCTTTGGAATACAAGCAACAGCCACAGATATATTCCAGCAGCTGTGTGACACAATAAACGTGCATTAAGTTTCCACTTTTGTTCTTGTGCTCAAATGTTAAAAGGGCCCTCTGATGAATTGTCGGTCATTCCAAACTGCCTGACTTCACTCATCTCAATACCTGAAATAACTCCTGGACCATTAAAGCTCTGACCTCAGATCGGTGCTAAATGAAAACACTGTATAACCTCTAATGACCTGATTCTGCCTCACTGACCTGGAGGCCTTGAAGACCTGCTGATGGGGAACATTACAGGTCAGCACAGCCCAGCTCCGCAGGTACATCAAACCAATGAGCTTCAAGACGTTAAAGGCAGGCAGGCAGGGTGAAAAAAATGCTCCCATCCTACAGGACAGGGAATAAAAAAAACACAGAAAAGATTTATTCCTATCCTAAAAGAGTTCTGTTTGTGCACCTGGAGCTTCAGATAAGTCATTATTGTGGGATGGCAAAGCTGGAGGGCAATGGAGCATTGGGTGAACCACAGGAACAGGACAGTTTATTGCTGATATCGATATATAAGCTCATATATAATAATACACAGAGACAGGATTTTAAATTAGGACTGTGTATTAGACATAAAAGCAGTCGCTGGAATGTAATAATCCTTAAATGAAGAATCATGACTTAGATTATTGGCTGATAAATGGATAAATCCATCACTTACCAGATCATTCCCTGGTTGTAAATCAGATGAAGAACATTTTCGGCTATTTTGAATTCTCCGTATTCTGGCTGTAAAGGGAAATTAATGTCATTGGAAAAGGAAAATATAAACATTCAATTGATCAAAAATATAAGTTGATGTAAAACAAATAAAAAAATAACAAAGAATTGACATTATGGATTCCACCAAATATATGATGCCTTTATAATTATAAGAAGAAGAAGACGACTGAAAGATTCAGATTTCTGCTTTCCAATCCGTCTCATCATGGACCAACGTTTATCCTTTCCATCATCCTGTTTCTCAGTATTTAACTGTGAATTGATTTTAATTAATTAATAAGTTAACACATTGCTTAATATAAGAATGTTCAGTGCATTTGCCTGTCTCTTTATAACTATTTTCAGGAGCCAGCAAACTAGGTCAGAGGTCATGGAGACCTTGAGAGGAACTGAGGGCTGAGGACTGGAAACAACCGTTTCTATTGTTATTTCTATGAGTTAATACTGTCTAAAATGTCTAAAAGTGATTTTACTGTTTTTACGGTTAATTATTTTAAAGTGATTCTACTTTTTATTCAAGATAGACTTTGTGTAGTAAGGATATACTGTAACTGCCTGAATTATACCGGTTGTTAACCAGTTTTGATAAAGATGGCTGAGTATACACTCAGCCTTGGATAAAAAAAAGATTATACTTTAAGTGTGTGTGTTTTATTTGATTGTTGATCTGTTTCACAGGTCTGGAGTCAGCTCTAATCAGTCTAAGGCAGGGGTCACCAATCTCGGTCCTGGAGGGCCGGTGTCCCTGCAGGGTTTAGCTCCAACTTGCCTCAACACACCTGTCTGGATGTTTTAAGTATACCTAATAAGACCTTGATTAGCTTGTTCAGGTGTGTTTGATTAGGGTTGGAGTTAAAATCTGCAGGACACCGGCCCTCCAGGAACAAGTTTGGTGACCCCTGGTCTAAGGGATGTTTGACGTTTATGTTTAGATATTGTTCAGAATTGTACGCACGAACCCCACATGGAAATTTTCCTAGTCTATCTGTGTTTTAACCAATCAGGTTAGAACACAAATATGTATGACGCAGTTAATGACGTCATGTGAGAGTATAATTGTTATTGATTGGTGATTGTAAGCAGAGCGGCCTAGGAACTCATTGCCAGTGTTGAAGCTGGCTTCTGCAAATGAAACTGCAAACTATCTTCAGTAAACTTGATTTATTTATTTAAATCTCTGACTCCGGCTCTTCTTCATCTACCAGACTGGTCATTCTTTGGGTCAAACTGTAAACTATCCCTACACAATGAAGAAGAAGACGACGAAGAAGAAGAAGAAGACAAAGAAGACGACGAAGAAGAAGATGAAGAAGAAGAAGATGAAGAAGACGAAGAAGAATAAGACGAAGAAGAAGATGAAGAAGACGACGAAGAAGAAGAAGCAGACGAAGAAGAAGAAGACGACGAAGAAAAAGATGAAGAAGAAGAAGATGAAGACGAAGAAGAAGACAAAGATGAAGAAGAAGAAGAAGACGAAGAAGAAGAAGATAAAAAAGAAGACAAAGACGACGAAGAAGACGAAGAAAAAGACGAAGAAGAAGAAGACAAAGAGGAAGACGAAGAAGAAGATGAAGACGAAGAAGAAGAAGACGAAGAAGAAGAAGACAAAGACGAAGAAGACGACATTTTCTTAAGAATAAAATGAACATTTATGCAATATATTTTTGAAGGATCATGAGAGACACGAAAATATCGATACAGAAAATTCAGCAACTGGAAAAAATATAGCTTCTTTCAAAATATTCAGCTATAATTTTTTGGTATTTAAAATTGTACATTTTATTTACATTTTGTTTTATTATTTACTATATTATTTATCAAAATATTCAAAATATTTTCTTTATATTTTTGAATAAATAACACTTTGTTTAACTGCAAGTCAAGTAACCATGAACATGCATATTTGTGGTTAAATTACTTAAAGATTTTGACAAAACAATATAAATATAAAGTAATGATTATGGGCAGGTGCGGGTACAGGCATCCCTGTAAAAGAAGGCAGCATTTTGTGCTCTAAAATCTCGATGTACTATTTAGCATTAATGGTGCCATCACAGAAGTGCAAGTTACCACTGACACAACTAGTTGATCATTTGGAAAAGTGAAAGAAGAGAGATTTTTCCTCAAGATTCTCACAGAAATCAGTCAAGTTTGGCAAAGAAAAAATCATGGTTTGGGGTTACATTCAGTATGGGGGCATGCGGGAGATCTGCAGAGTGCATGGCAACATCAACAGCCTGAGGTATCAAGACATTTGCAGGATGGCGCTCCTTCTCATATTTCAGCCTCCACATCAAAGTTCCTGAAAGCAAAGAAGGTCAAGGTGCTCCAGGATTGGCCAGCCCAGTCACTAGACATAAACATTATTGAGCATATCTGGGGTCAGATGAAGGAGGAGGCATTGAAGTTGAATCCAAAGAATCCTGATGAACTCTGGGAGTCCTGCAAGAACGCTTTCTGTGCCATTCCAGATGACTTTATTAATAAGTGATTTGAGTCATTGCAGAGATGTATGGATGCAGTCCTCTAAGCTCATGATGGAGTCAGACACAATATTCATTCTGTTTCCACTGCAGCATGACTTTATATTCTATACTGTACATTATTTCTGTTCAGTGACAAGACTTTTGTCTAAGCAAAGTCAGACCTTTCAGTCCTAATTAAAGAATTAAAAATCAAGGCATGTTCATATTTTATTTTGGTGAAATAAGTGTAATCTAGAGGCCTTTGCCTTTCATATAAGCCACATTTGACACCAAACGATCAACTAGAAGTCCAGTTATTATTTGCTGTTTCTAAAAATTTTATAAGCAACAAGATTTTTGTCAGTTAGTGTAAAGCCCACCCCTTAACCCAACCATCATTGAGCAAATTGTACTAAATTGCGCAAATAAGATCATACAAATTCACACAAATTAGTCATTTGTAAAAAAAGTTACAAATTAGTGTGAGATATCATTGGTATATATATATATTTTAAACAAATGACTAACTTACAAACTTGCTCTCCAAGTCCCAACAGCAGCAGTCGCTCAGATATCGAACCACCAGGCCGCGGATGAAATCAATGAGCAGGATACTTGCCACAGTGAAGATCATATCAATGATGGAGAGCTTCAACATCTCCTGCAAACGATAATAAACAAAATAAACAGCCTGTATTTACTTTCGCCGTGCGCAGTGTGCAATTTAAGCCCCTCCGCAGACCATCAGTATCTTCAAGCAGGAACGCTAAATCAGATCTCTGGATTTAAACCAAGAGTAAGACAGAGCTGGCAGCTGTTTCATTAAATAAAAACACGTCTGGGTGTTTCAGCCCCACGTATCCAATCCATATTCCTCTACTCGGCAGGGAAACATATTCATATTGTCTGCCACAGTAATGCATTTAATGAATGACTATGTCCACCGCTAAAGAGACACTTCATTCCTTTACTCAAAAGCAAACTGCATCAGTTCTTAAGAGATGCTAAGCACACCTGCTAGCTTGAGTGCTTTGTATAATATATCACTATGAAACCTCACACACAAAATCAAGTGAGACAAAGTATAATTCATAAGTATTCTTCTGAATTATAGGTGTGCAACGCTGTCTGAAAACTACATGCACTGCATTTCTTACTTAGAGTTTTTGTCTTGTTTCTCATTCAAATATGTAAAGTTTTAAACCAAGAAGAACTTTCAAGACAAGCAAAAATTTTGTCTTGAAAATCAAGTGAGGTTGTCTTTAAAACAATCTGATTTCAAAGCAAATACATTTTTTTTTCTTATCCTATTCGATTACTACGGAGACCCTGAAGGGACATGATGATGGGGGAAAAAAATGGGTGGAAGAAAAAAAAAAACAGTAACACACACATATATACACACACACACATATATATACACACACACACATATATATGTATATATGTATGTGTATACACACACACACACACACACACACACACACACACACACACACACACACACACACACACACACACACATATATATATATATATATATATATATATATATATATATATATATATATATATATATACATATATATATATATATATATATATACACATATACATATATATATATATACACACACACACACACACACACACACACACACACA